ACTCATGCAAAGTTATAAAGGAAAATATAAAGAACTGCACTTAAAAATAAAACAGGTCCTTGTTTAAGCATTTAATGATCTTATTGAGTACCATTTTTCTGCCAGGCACTTTAAATCTACTGTGTCATTTAGCAACCCATGATTTAGAGATTATCTACATTTATTGTCTTCATCTGAGGTAGAGATTACTATCTTCACTATCACCAAGTAAGGAAACCAAAGTTCTGACTGGTTAAATAGCTTGCAAAATGTTATTCAGTAGGTGGCAGAATTCCAGTCTATAAATAATGTTGTTGAGATTTTGCAGAAAGAGGATGAGCCTCTAATCAAAATTTGTTTCTCATGTCAAGACTGATGATTACACAAACATACTCTAAGAGAGTATGAAAAGTGTTATTATTTGTTAATGAGGATTTCTAGGGAGAGTAGGGCAAAGATCTCCCAGACTTGTCTGAAAATAGCTGCAGAACACAGAGAAAGGAGTCTGGACTGAGTTTTTATGGGGCTTAAGGGGTGAGATTAGACTTGCCCATATGTGGGTGGAAGGGGTGCATGGGAGGTGAAGCTTAAAAGCCGTCAGCAATCAAACATCAAAAAATGGAGTTATAGGCTTTATTACAAATGTTTTTAAAATTATATTTATCAATATATAAGAAAAATTCCCACCTTTATATTTAGACGGCATAGTAATTAGGGCATTTGGCTGCTAACCAAAAGGTCAGTGGTTCAAACCCACCAGCCACTCCATGGAAGAAAGATGAAGTGGTCTGCTTTTGTAAAGATTTACAGCCTTGGAAACCCAGCAGGTGTTGCTATGTGTTGGAATCGACTCGATGGCAGCACATTAGGTATTTTGTTTGTATATGTATATCTTTGTTTTAGTTTAACTGATTTGTATGTCTAGATTTTTTTGAGAAACAAATTGTATAAGTGCCAATGTCCCAAAGTATACTCAAAAGTCTTGAGAAATATCTGTTTTTGAAAATCAGTAAAAATTAAATAACCAAAGTATTGGGTTTTAATGTAGATATAAAATTAATTTGAAATTAAAAAAAGAAAAAATAAACTCATCTAAAATCACTTCTGTATGATTAATCTTACCAGAACATAAGGTCCCAGAATGAAAGGAGTGTGTCTTTTCCATCATTATACACCATAAACCAAAACGAAAAACCAAACTCACTGTCATCAAGTTGATTCCAACTCACAGCAACCCCCACTGGGTTTCTGAAGCTATAAATCTTTACAGAAGTAGATCGCCCCATCTTCCTTCTGTGGAGCAGCTGGTGGGTTTGAACTGCTGACCTTCTGGTTAGCAGCCAAATGCCTTATCCACTATGCTACCAGAGCTCCTTACTACACACCATAAGGACGTACAGCTATGCCTTGTAAAAGTAGATACTTAATAAACGAATGGGAGAATAAATTTGATAAAGACTGT